TGTACTTTGTCTCCAAAGGGTGCTCCTTGGGGGCTGAAAGAGATGATTTATGTTAGCAAGAGCTGCCATGCATGAACACAATGGTGTGTAATACAAGTTCTGCTGGTATTCTGCTAGTCCACTTGTATATAAAATTGTGAGGGTTAAAAATATCTTTAATTTGAGGTTACTCACATGTATAAGAATCACAACCTTTTATACATAATCCCCATTTTATGGAGACAAAAGCAACTGGGAAATTAAACTACATTAATACTTGTTTACAGTTTGTTGCAGGTCCTTTGCAAGTCTGCAGAATATAGACATGACCAGCTGCTTTTTTTTTTTTTTTTTTTTTGGTTTCCTGTTTTGTTTTGGGGACTTTTTACCCTTGGTCTTGTTTTCAGTAAGTGAAAGGAACTCTAAATGGGGTTCAGATCAGGAGACAACCAGTTAGCTAGCTCTGAAAAATCTTATAGTACTTTAGTAATGCTGTCCACATTCACTAATTTAGAGGCACATAGATGGATTTGAGAAGATAAAAAGCAGTAAAGAGGCATATAATTAAATAAATAAAATTCCTTAAAGGAAAGATCCACCCTGAATGACTTGCATATTAATGTCAGTGTTCTTAGCAGTGTCCTAAACTACCCACAATGCTGTTCCACTACCTGCTGATAGTGGCACTGGTAGAAATTAGCCCTTGCTTCACCTCTACCTAAAGAGAGTGATGCAGCAGTGCTTTACTCCTTTAGTCTTTCCAGCTCTCTTACCTCCTCATCTGTACACTCTGCTTAAACAGATACATTTATAAAACGTCAACTTTCATGCTAATATAACTGTCAACGCCACTGTGCTCATCATCTCGTAACTCGCTAACTAGTCGAGCCAAGTCTCTGCTGAACAACTGCGATGTATAGCTGCTTTGTATTCTAGAATTTTGAGGCCAATATTTTTTATCTTCACTACTTCTACATTGGATAATATGCTGTTAAAATATATATTTTTTTCCTTTAAGGGTTATTCGGGTTGTGCCTTACAGGTTCAGTGTAGAGCCCTAAAAGAGTGTTTCGCTGTCAGAAAGGTTTGGGAAGCTATAAAACCTTAACTATCAAAAGAACCCTCGAAGAACCTTTTTTTCCTAAGAGTGCTATCCAACATGTTCATGTCACCATATTTTATCAATTTAGATAATTGGCAGTTCTTCTTTCTCTCCAACGTGCAGTTACTTTGTTACTGTATTTATGTATGATTATTTTTTAGTTACTACACTTTAAAAGAGAAATCTCTACTTTCTACTCTCAATATTTTCAAGCAACCCATTCTCTATAATCATATGCCTGTAAAGTAGCATCAGACAGCTTCAAATCTAAGCTTTAACAGATGTTACAGTAAGAACGAGACCTTCCACTCATCACTGTAATCTAGCTGTTGCTAAGTACACCGTATTTATCAAGGCAGTTTGTATTGTATCAGCTAGTAAAAGCAGTTTGTATCATCAGTTATTATCATGCTAGCTAACATTTCAGAGATTAAGCTGTTGTTAGTTAGATGTCATTTTTTCCTCACATTCCTTGATTATTTGGTGAAAGGTGTATTAATTTACCAAGAGTCACTAAAATCAGTTAAATTGAAGTGGTCTTTTGTGTATCTTTCTTGTAGTTTCACACTTTTCGAAAATTTCAGATTTTATGCTTTTCTATTTGAACTCGAGCGAAGACGTTGAAGCTGTACTTCAGCTTCTACCAGAGTATCTAGATTTAGATTTGGTACTTTTACCAGAAAGTAGCTGTGTCTCTGAACTATTCATTGGTTCTCTTATTGAGAGACATGAGAGAGACTATGAACACCAACTCTCTCATCAGCGAGCGTTCAGCACTTGGACATGAACTATTCAGGCCATGAAACAGCTGAACAAGAAACTGAGGAATGAATTGTCCAAATACTTACGGTCCCCATAAATGGGGGCTGTTGATAAAAAGAGTTGTAATTATAGGTATCCTTCACCCAACACGGACATCAGTATTCTCAAATTAAAGCTATGAAAGCTGTGATTTTGGAGAACAGAGAAAATGTTTTCAAATAATGCATGATACTGTAGGTACAATATCTAGCATTGATACCATGCAGAATGAAGACATGAAGACTTACGCTTGATCAACCATTCTTTCTTTCTCTTCCACATCCTTTCTCGTTGGCTGCAGCGTGTGATTGTGGAGTGCACTGTGCACGGACAGGAATGCAGCACAAGCACTGGCTCGTGACAACTGGCCTTAAAATTGAACAAAGGAGCTATGAATAGCCAAGGGGTCTCATCATCCGAGTGCTTACTATCCCTACACCCCTGAGACCTGAGCAAGCTAGTGTCATGTTGCTTGGCTGTAACAGTAGCCTATTTTTGACAGCTGTGTCATATTTTATATTTGAACCTCATGGATACACAATTAGCACCATTCTGGAACTGTAGAAACTATTCTGTCTCATTACGCAGGGTTGGAAAACACAATAATTGCTGCTCACATTTGGATATTGTACATTACTACTCTGACATATTTGTAGTGACCCATATCATAGCTAGAACAAATATGTTACACAGGAAATCTGTTTAAACTGCTTCTGGGCTGGATGTGTTACTGCATTTGAGAGGCCTGAATATTCATAGCAGTGCTAATGAGACAGAAGTGGAACCGTTGAGTCATCTCACAGGTGCGTGTGCGTTGAATGAACGGTTTCACATGTTTCTAGTGCTGTGGTTTCTCACTGTTAGAGCTCTAGGATGCTATTTATTACCACTGGGATGCCTGTTTCACACTGATGAAGATGCACCAAATCTTTATTTGAGAAAATCGCACAGCATGTCATTTATAATAACTATGACGTATAAAAATGAAAATACAGCCTTTTATAGAAACCACAATCAGCTACCGTGTCTCAGCTTCCCCTCTGAGTTATTTCCTCATTTTTTGGCAAATTCACAATAAAAAAATAACTTAATCTGTGGCTGAAAATAACTTAGTCTGCTCTGGAATTACAGGCACCCTTCAAGAGAATGGGAAAAACATTAAATGTTCATTATAAAATCAGTGTAATGCACCATGATTCAATATTTCCACTGAATCAAGAGAAGATACTTTAATTTTCTCCAATAATAAAAAAAAGTGTTTAAAAATATCTCTCAAATCATTTATGGCAAAATTATTTGCACCTAGCAGTGAAAACTAAAAAAAAAATCATCCAGGAAAAAAAAATTAAAATTGCTTTAATTCTCCAGGAACTCTATTATTTGACAAGTCTGACAAGTTCCTCTGCATATAAATATGAGTTTTCACATATGTAAAAATCAGTCACCAGAGGGAATATTTGGGATTGTAAAATTTGAAAATCAGCTAGTAGACACCATCTCCATAACAACAAGCTGTTTAGAAGCATTGCGCACTAACTTTCTGGCTATGTAACTCATCTGCATGTTTGGCAAAAAAAAAAATGAGACAAGGAAAAACAAGAAAGAGCACCTGACAGCAAAACATGGTTGGCTCTACCAAGAGGTCAAAGCAACAAGATAATGACCTCCATATCAACACAAATTGTTATGGAACAAATCAAAAGCCTATCTCTACTGCCTAAAAAAAATAGTCTCTGGATTTGAACCCTATTCAAAACTGTAATCTGAATTGAAGATGATGTTCACATGCACAAACCTAAGCATATAAAAGAGCTTGAAATGTGGTCCATGATGGAGGGATCCAGATTCCCCTTACAAGTGTCTCCAATCCTGTTAGACATTACAGGGAAAAAAAACCTCTTTTATTCTCTCCAAGAGTGGATTCAGCAAATATTAATTGTGGGAATGCCAATAATTTTTAAACCAGTGTTTATCAGTCATTACAGGGGGTAGTCATTTTTGTACATTGTCATGAAGGGTGCCATTAATTTTGGAGTTGACTATATGTTTTCATATCCTGAAAAAAATCTTATAAAGGCCAGCTTTACTAGATCCACTCTCCCAGAATACACTAGAAATCCTCCAACCCTGTTGTGTCCACCTTGACTTTGATAAACAGTGTGTCGTCTCGTACGTAGACTGCATTTCGGGGACCTTCCAGATCAGTGTGAGAGATGAAGCGGGAGAACCCTAAAGCGGCGTTGCTGTCGGCTGTGGGTCTGCGGAAACTCTCTTTGTTGGTGTCGGGGTTGAAGCTGCAGCTGATGTGATTGCGTGAGCCGCTCTGGTCCAGCACGGTCAGCGTGATGCTCTGGCGGAACGGCCACGGCAGCAGCGAGTCGAAGTCGCCTCTCATCACCATGACGTAGAGGGAGAGGTGCGTGCCCCGGGCGCTTCCTTCCCCATCAGGATACACGCGGACACTCAGCTTGTAGCCGCTGCGGCCGGTGTAGAAAGGCGGCGAGGTGAGCGGCGCACCGGCGTCTTTTCTGCGCTGGTAGTCGTGAACCTTCCAGATGAGCTTTCCATCATACGACGTGGACTCAAGCTGGCGAAAACGTTGTTCGTTACACTGCAGCTGCTCCACGTGGATGTCCAGGAGTCGAGTGTGACGCTGACACGTCTGCCCTAAAGCTCCTGCACAATCACACACACATAAAGCACTGTTTTAAGGCTCGGTGCCAAGACTGTAGGAGCAATTCCAATGTTTTACCAATTTTATTTACAGTTTGACAGAAAATGCTAATCGCTGTGTGTTTCCATCAACTATTGTTATGTAATATTTTGACATTGAATTACAATAGCATTCGGTTTTGAACGTAGCCATGGAAAAAGCAGAACACAGAGTTGCTGTCATCATTTGACATTTCGTTTAAAATATCTGTTTTCACCACCTTTGTCTAATCTTTTATTTATCGATCCTTAACTTTTGAACATTTTCATCTAAAGTCTAAAACGTATAGGAAATATTTACATTTGGCAGATGCCCTTATCTAGAGCAACTTACATTTATTTCATTTTTATACAACTGAGCAGTTGAGGGTTAAGGGCCTTGCTCAAGGGCCCAGCAGCGGCAGCTTGGTGGTGCTGAGATTTGACCTCACAACTTTCTGATCAAAAGTCCAACATCTTAACCACTGAGCTACCACTGCCTGGTTTCTTTTAGCACTATTCAATTCACAATTTCTTATGCACTAACTAAATATTGGGTGGCACTGTAATGCAGCAGGTAGTGTTGCTGCCTCACAGCTCCAGTGTCCTCGGTTCAACCCTGAGCTCGGGTTACTGTCTCTGCGGAGTTTCATATGTTCCCCCCAAAACAGGCCAGTAGGTGGACTAACTATTCTAAATTTCCCCTAGGTGTGAACGAGTGTGTGTATAGTGCCCTGCGATGGATGGGGTCCCATCCAGGGCGTATTCCTGCTTCCTGCCTAGTATTCCCAGGACAGGCTATAGATCAACCTTGACCAGGATAAAGTGGTTAGTAAAGATGAATGAATGAATGAATTCAATATTTAAATAAGAACTAATGGATGGGAAGTCACATTATTGAGAACCAGATCAATAAGAATGCGAGTTGACATTTTATTAAGTACCTTGTAGTGACACTTACTTTCTACCCCGTTCATCAGCGACCACCATAGAACCATCACTGACCAGAAACAGGGCAAACTAAAACTTAATGTAGACCAAAAACATGTATAATCTGCTGACTGATTACGTTCTATCCTCACCCAGGTGATCTCTGAGGCTCTGCGTCATTGCCACCTGCTGTCTGAGAGAGTTGAGAGAAACTCGGAGAGCATTCAGCTCCTCTTTAGCCAGCTCAGCATCCAGAACACTGCGGAGCTCCTGCAGCTCCTGTTTAACGCTGGAGACACACTCCCCCTGCTCCACCACTGTCCTCTACAACACAAACACTGCAGTATCAGCTGAGCTCCTGCTCATACACACCGTTCACACACCAGACTGAGGCTTGTAGAGATATACTGTACATACCAATACCGACATTACCGACATAAGAAAAGTCAAGCCTATGAAGAGAGGGTTTTTGTTTTAAAACAATTTCTTTTACTTATATAGTATGTCTTCTCACATTTCCTCTAATGGAAATTCTCAATTCTCAAAAACCCAAAAGAACATTTGAAAATAAAAGCAAATTGTCATCATTGAAAAAATTGCTTTCAGTCTCCAGGGACATTATAGCCTTGGACCATTTCCTGTTTCCTTTGCGTATAAATATGAGGTTTCACACCTATAAAATTCCTTTTTATGCATCACCATGGGGAAAATTTGGGATTGTCAAGTAAAAAAAAAAACAACAAATCAGCTATTTGACACGATCTCCAATTTGGGGTGGTCAAGTTCCAAAATCAGATATTATCTTAGCTTTGGTTTTCATTTGTTTTTTGAAACTTACCATGCCCTGTAGCCAGGATTCACCACCTACTGACATTTTTATGGTTCCAAAGAATGACCATATGATACTGATAAATTGAGACAATATGCTTTTCTATGAGTACTGTAGGTATTTTTATAACACTACTCATTATTACTCACAGACATTAGAAACTGATTAGACGATATAATGTTTTTTCTTACTAATTGTTTCAGTTCTTCATTCAACAATTTTATTTCTGAAAAATTTATTTATAAAATGTAATGGAAACCTTATTATTAATATGCAATTTAAATGCGGCACTACTCTTTTTCTGTTACACTCTTAGTAATCCTGTATATTGTGACACATTTCATCCACCCCTAGTTCTTAGTATAGTTATATTGAAAGTATAATGGACTATATTATTTACTATAGAGGATACTATAAAGATTGACTCTCTGTACCTGGATGGCAGAAAATGTGTTGTCACACTTGGTCACTTCTCTGTTAAGATTAGCAACAAGCAAGTTTCTCTCCTTCAGCTCCCTCTCCTGGAGGGCCAAGTCCTGCTGCAGCTGATCTACCTGAGACACACACACACACACACACACACACACACACACACATTGCCAGCTCAGCCCAATATTCAAGAGTTAAAAAATTCCTACATTTAGGCCCATTTAAATAGAGAAAGAATTCAAAGCTACAGTTATAAACATTGACATAAACATGTTTTAAACAAATCACAGCTCCTGGACCAGCTGGTCATACTCGCCATGCAGCTATGGCTTGAAGTGAATCGAATGTTCTGCTAATCATGTACTTTCTTACATTAGCCAAGTGCTACCAGGGAAACCATGGTGAATAATATACAAGGAGAAACTTTAAACACTTTTGCTCTGACAAAGGTAAACAAAGTAGTCTCTATCAGTATAATTTTTATACCTGGGATGTGATATGGTTGGTATGAAATTGTGTGACATCACTAGTTTGTAAGATCGTATGTACGCTAATGAATTTATTTAGTTGTCGCCTACGCACACACACACATACACAGGTCACCAACAGCACTATCTGTTTACCAGTAAAAGCATACAGAATGTATACTGTCTAAGTGTTGTAGTGATAATATTACTGTAATTGACATAGGGATGTTTTAGATCAGTGTTTCGCAGCTGGTCAGTTTTGACCTTCTCCGTCAAAAAAATCAGACTTTTATTATATATTTTTTATGAATTCAGATTGTTCAACAGAGCACCTTTATTTTAGAAAAGACTTTACACTGTATGATTTTTGGCCAGATTTTTTTTTGGGGAAAAAAATCATAAAATTCTTTGGTAGTGTGTTTAGAATCACAGTCTTATAACGCATAATATAACATGCTCGCTGGTGACCGATTTAGTGCCATTGTGACCTAAGACAGTCAATGACATAATTTTGTATTAAAATCTAAAAAGAGTGCTGCTGCTGCTACAACACTTGTCTAAAAGCCTCCAATACGATGAGAGCATAGAATTACACAAAATTCACAGAAAAGCCACAAATATAGAAGTGGCAATGGTGAAACGCTTTCAAAATGTGGGATTTGAAAAAGTGTGGTTTGTTTAATTGTGGTAGCAGAGAGAGAATGTCTCTTTGACACCTCAGGAGGTTCTATCATGACAGACATTATACAAAGCGGTTGTTTCAGTTTATGCTACCCCATACCGCACAATCCCATTTTGCACTGAGTGTGACATAAGCAGCAGGTAGTAATCTTCTTCTATCATTAGAGGATCTTCACTGTATACTCTGACACGGAGAACACACTCTGTTATAGACTGCCAAAGATTTTACAGTGTGACAAGTAATAATCATAAGTAAAATACTGCTCAAAGGGTAACACTGGCTTGATTTAGAATTTGCATTAGAAACATGGTGGTGGTAGTATAACACTAAACAGTGATATGTAAACCTACAAAATTAAAACAGCCTAACATAGAAGACACACTTCGCTTTGGTAAAGTGTTTTGCAGGGTCCAAGTTTAATCTTAAATGTCTGAATGCGTTAGAAAGCTGGGCTGTGACTTAATAATGAAGGGCAAACATGGATTAAATTTACTTCGTTTCTCATTGGGACTGCTATTTTGAGTCTGTGTTAACTGACTCAAAATCTGAACTGTACACTGACATTTCATACCTGTTTAGCAAGTTTGCTGTTGCTCTCCAGTACCAGCAGCACATGGTGGCTAAATTCAGTGTATTCATGGACTTTCACTTTGCTTCTTTTATCCTAAAGGAGAAAGGAAACATACACCTCGTCTCATGATGAAGAAACATTTAGTAGTGGAAAAGGAGTAGACAGTGTTAGTGCACTTACTCGGACTGTGCAGCCATATTGCTTATAAATGCAGTCTGTCTCCACCTCTGGACACTCATCTACATGTCCTTTGAGCTACAGCGAAGAAATAGCAGAATGAAATTAAAATGAAATGCTAAACATGTTGGAACAATTATGTTTTATTTATAGTCAAAAGTGGACAGAACCTTATGCCGCTTAACCATCTGAGAGCAGTTATTGGGACACTGAACTTCAGCTTCAGGGCACGACATCTTTTCATGGTCCTGAAATGACCCAGAGAACAGGGTTAGAGGGGTTTATGGTGGAGTTAAATCTCACTACTGAAGGCAAAACATGAAAAGTATTTCTGACCAGGAGCTGGGTAATAGGATACGGCTTCGTGCAGTAGCGACAGAATTCTGTGCGAAAGGGACAGAGGCTTCGCTGGTGGTCTGGTAAATTCTTGCGTAACAGGATGTCAGTGCAGCCTGGGTTGGAGCATTGCAGGGTTTCGTACTGACAAAGCTTTAGGTGTTTCTGAGGGAGAAATATAGAGACAGATAGAGAGCTATATCAGTCTGTTATTACTCAGTTAAGTAGAGTGAAAGCTTTAGGGATTTTTAACTACTATACACTTCAGTGTGTACAGTTTGGTTTCAGTTTCAACGTGTAAATCACACAGAGGCACCTTACCTGCAAATCACACAGAAGCATCTTTTGTGTGCAATCTGGAGTGTTGCTACAGTAAACTTCAAGATTTAGTAGTTCTCTTTTACAGCAGTTGTCTTTAAAAACCTGCAACATTTTAAACAGTTATAACCATGCCAGAGTTATAATATATACAGCCTATACATTCTGTATTAGGTGCCATCATTTTTTTAAACACATTTTGTCAAATATTATTTTGTTTTCCGCATTACTGTCTCAGTAGAAAATAGTAAATTTTTTTTTTTTTAAAAACTTTCATTTTCCAAAAAAAGCTAATGTTACAGAGAAACGTGTACATTGTTAAAGAAAGTAACAGAGCACTCCCCAATCTCTTCCCCCGTCTTTTTTTTTCTCCCCAATCTGATCACTTGCTAATTCCCACCCACCCTCCAGCTCTCGCCTATCACACAGCACATACCAAACATCGTTTTGAACTGCTGCTCACGCTGTATCACAGGGCAGCGTGACACACTCGGAGGAAAGTGCTATCTACCCTCTTCCACATACACGAGCTCACAGATGCCCATAACTGGCTAGCGTCACTATGATTGACAGCGGAGAAAGAGTATGGCATCCCTCCCACCCAGACAGCACGGCCAGTTTTGCTCTCTTGACTCCTGGCCACAGACGGCTGTGGCATCTTTGGGATTTGCGCCTGACGACAGGGTGAACGCTTCTCTATTTTATTCATTTAGATGTGTCTGGAATGATTATCAGCGCTGCGGTTTATTCCAAAATGGCCAA